GCCCGATATTACCCCTGTATCGTCCGATACGGGTTTTTTTGGGTGTACCACCCGGTAGCGGGCGGTCCGCGTACCGGTCACCTATCGGACCGGTACGTACCGCTCGTACCGGGCGGTACGATTCGGTATGTCAATCCTTGGCACAAAGGCTTAAGTATACCAATAATTTGAACAGATAGTCATCCTTAATTATAATATGATAGCTCATATTTTGACCAAGGTTTTTAATTTCAAATGATACCACCCGTACCGGGTTGTACTTACCGGTCCGCCAGCAGACCAATAAGCGGACCGCCCACTACTAGGTGATACTATCGATTGAGGCTATTACCGCCCCGTTACCACCCAAAATCGATCGGTGACGGTCGATTTCGACCAACGCCACCCGCTACCGAGCGATATTAGCCGAGGGAGAAGGAAGAAGAAGGAGAAGAAAAGGGATAACCTGGAGATCCAACATCGCTCTCCCTTGACAATCCCGATTCGACGTCGCCTTCCCTCGTCAGACGCTGTAGATGAGATGTCGCCTCCTCGTCTGAGGTGACGAGGCCTCGGCGTTGTCGACAACTTATCCTAATCCGCGTTGTCACGAACGGTCGTTGCACACTCGCAACAACTTCGTTCAACAAACCGTTCATTGCTTTTGCATGCTTGTACAGAGACATGATAGCTTGTTTTGCGTTGGTTTTGTATGTTTTTGCTTGTAAAAATGCATGTTCGAACATGTTGCAACGTTGTAGTGCAACCGTTCGCCGTGCTAGGCCGAAATGCCCCAAAATGGCTCTGTTTTCGCATGCCACGACTTGTTTTCTGTAAGTCGCAATAGCACACCAAAACGTCAGCCATCTCAACACCCTAGAACCCCCCTGGGTGGCACAGGGCTGGATGAGGCTTCGGTATATTGTTGAGCATTGAAAAATCTTCACAAGTTCGCACGTTAACTTGACGGGAACTTGCCTTCGTGCCCGGCACCCAATGAGCAGTTGTTTGTGGACTTACAACTGTTCGTTCTACCTTCTAAAGTCCTTGTTTTCTCCTTCCTCTCTTTTCTCTCTTGCACTCAAGGTGCTTGTTGAATTGCTTGTAAAGTTTCTCTCTTTGCAAGACGTCGGGACTTGTTCGTCGCTCGTTT